GTTTTACACTTTTTGCCTTGATTACTTTAAGAACGTGTGCGGTCGGTCCGCTTGGTATGTTAAATATACGCTTTGCTACTGAAACTAGACACAAATAATTGTCCGTCTTGAAGCTTGTTGCAGTATTTATAGTGCGACGTATGTTCTACGCACGGAATTGCCAACTAACTATTTTGAAAAGCCAATAAAGAGTGACCTGCGTTAAAGTGTATCTCTGTGTAAGATTATTTGAAGTGGTTCGTTTGATTTACCCACGTCGATTTACCTAGTGTGCCTCAACGTCGTCCTCATTAAGGCCGGTTCTCACATGCAGCGAAGCGCTGATGTAGCGCTCCTCACGTGCCGTCAGATACTTATCTTCTGCTATGAGCAACAGTTTTGACGGTGCGATACATAGCTGGTGAACGCTCCCACCAGCACGCGCTTAGCGCGAGGTCATCGCTATGCTTGTAGCGCTCCGCTGCAGGTGTGAACAGGCCTTTAGGGTGATGCCATCCTTTGTATAACCGGATGCCGGCAGCACGCGCTCACAGGGAAAATGCAAAGAAATCGCCGAGAACGAAATATCGCCGTAGCACAGTCAGTGCCACGAGCGCATGCAGGAACGCGCTCTTTCATGCGTTTCGGAACAAGAAAAAAAAAAAAAAAAAGCGTTCCGAAGAAAGTGATTAGATCACCATATTTAAAGCGCACATAAAGGTACCTTAGATTTGCCGGCACCTTCTGCACCGGTGCAGCAAAGTGTAGAGCACTGTACTTCCGTTATGTGTAGTGAGACCGGAAGTACACAACCCAAAACTTTGCTGCACTGGTGCATGCAGAAGGGGCAGGTAAATTGAACGAAGCTACTGTCTGCCATAGCTGAGCTAGCTGCTGCTGATCACGTGTTGAAGGCAAGATACTTCTCGTTGGGCGGCACCTCTGGCGAGCAAGATCGAATATTCTTCGGTCGCGTTTCGGTTGGGCGTCAATTCGCAACAAGAAAGCAAAGCAACAAGAAACAAAATTCTTATCTTTTTGAGAGACACTGACATAGCCTCCTCTATACTCACAAAGCCTGGCAGTTCTACGACGGAGACATAGAGCGCCCGGTCGCAGATTTGGAGCACGACGATCTGGCAGCACAGAGCATTTCTTGGGGGTACTGTAGTGAGAGCACAGCTTTTGCAGCGGCGAGGACCCGAAACAGACTTTCGGGTCCTCGCGTCTCGCCTAAGCGGGGCGCCAGTCACGTGGCTCTCCTTTCATCCGTAAAGCCCCTTCATGTTTCAAAAGTAGCGCTAGGTGCGTCGATGCATGAGGCACGTGCAACGTGCAGCCCTTGGGGAGATTATGGCGGCACAGCGCAGCACTGAGCTAGATTTCAGACGCCATGAATTTCCCAGAAGTGGCGCGCGGCACGTGCCTCGAGCATTTCTACAACAATGAATGGTGCCCCCTGGCCGAGAAAAACCAGAGCCGTGTATACAGAGAGTTTGGTCAATGGGAGGCGCGGGCAGAGCCAGAGCGTGCACCCGACGCAGAAAGTGGGCTTGGCGTGCTCTCTTGCCCAACCAGAAGCCTAAAAGAATCTCCTAGCGGTGGTAGCAAGAAACTGTGTTGTCAAAGGTATAGTGTTTTAATAAGCGCGTAAGAGTGAAGTGTAGTAACCCTTTGTGGCTGAAAATAGGGTGCACGTGATGTTTCGATCATGATCATACAGAAAGATGTAAGAAAGGAATGCGCCGCTTAACTCTGTCTTGCTCGGACAGAGTGTGACCGCTCGGACGGCAGATTTTTGGCCCTCGGCGCTTGGCGTACGGATTATGTCGATCGTTCGGCTAGTTGCACTCTTTCACCATGATTTTGGGTGACCGTGATTGAAACATAACGTGCAGCATATTTTCAGTCAGCGAGAGCTACTCCGACGCACTTACCAAGTTTTTTTCTCGCGACCACCGCCAGGGTACTATTTCCGGCTTCTGGTTGGCCACCTTTGAATTTGTGAAGACGCCCTGGAACACGTCCAGCCCGCTTTCGGCCAATGGCGCCTCCTCATTTGTGTCCTATAGTTCCCAACGAATGGCCAAACTCTTTACATGTACGGCTCTGAGAAAAAACAAGCCTATCCGGGTTCATCGCCGCGGCATGGAGAAATAACACCGACCCACTGTTTCTCTCGATTTAATGGCGACTACTGTACCATATTAGGAATGACAAAAAACCTGCTGTGTGCTTCTTCTTTCTCTTCTTTCTTCCTCTCGCTGTTGAAGATTCAACGGGCTGCCCCACCAGCGCGTGCTGTAGGTAAAGCTGCTAGTAAAGATATGGTAAAGCTGGGAAGAGTTCTTCACTGTTCTTGACACAATCCTAGCTTGTGGTTTACGTACCGCAGACAACGGCCTAATACAACGAGCTGCGCAGATGCTCGTCGATTTCCCACCGGGGGTCGTAACTTAATTTGTCGTCGGACGTTCGTAAATTACTTTGTGACTGATTCTATTTTTTTCCTGTTTCCTGAACATCTCGTTAGTATGCTCATGAAACTACAGCCGTGTTTCTTGAAATAAAGCGTACCTGTGTTCGGCATGCGTCTTGCGTGAATCTTCGGAGCTGTGAACTTGTTGGTGTTTCTGAGTGGGCACTATGCGTTTCGTCTTTCTTGCTCGTTCTTTTTTGCGATTTAATGGAATCGTTGTTTCCTTATTCGTTTCACATTTGGTTTCTTTCTAGACGCATGTTTGTTTCTTTGTCGACTTTGTTTCGTTCTCGATAGACTTGTGAATATCACTTTCTGTCGGCAGGGTCTGCGCGTTTTCTGCGAGTTTGATTAATCTTTGTTGCTCCCTGCGGTTGTCTTCGACTTTGATCTTTCTAATCTCCGCTTTGTTTCTTTTTTTGTTTGGTTGTAATCCTCTGGGTTTCCTGTATTTAAGAAGGGATAAGTGTCGGGGGAGAATTGGTACTTGTTCAGGAAAGTAGTTTACTTGTCAGCCATTGTTTTAGAATGTGTATCGGTCTTCCACTTGCTTGGTACACCGTTGTTTCATTCAATGGGACCTAATTCAACTTTTTTACAAGTTTCGATTTCGTCACGGCTTGTCGGCTCGTTTCAAACAATCTGAAATGCATACCTGCTTTGCCAAGTCTAGGTGGGCTCGAGCTCAGAAACTACATTGACTCAATGTTACTGGATTTTGTTTGTTTTGCGAAGGATTGCCACTGGAGGTTAAATCATTTTCAGTTTCCTGTTCTTCGTTTTAATCTTGTCTGTGTTTGAATAAGTTAGCCCTAGATCGGTGCGTACCGCTTGTCGTTCTTGAAGAAGTCGGTCTATGTCCGTCCATGTCATTTCGGTGAATATCCGTTCTCAACAATTTGTCCTTTCGTCGTCCTTGATGAAGGTCTGCCTTTTGCGCGTCGATATTTATTTCTGTCAGTGTAATAAATCACACTGACCGACAGTACCGACAGATTCTCTTGATGGTTGAATGGCGACTACTGCATTAAGTGACTGCATGACCTGAATAAAAAAAAAACGTGCTGTGTGATTCTTCTTTGTCTTTTTTGTTCCTCTTGCTATTGAGGATTCAACGGAATGTATTCAATTCGAGGGACTCTAACAGAGGTTATTCACATGTATTCGCTTATTCATATTTAGTGGCTCTAAGAGAGGGTATTCACTGGACGTCACATATCAGGACTCTAGTGCGCATGCTTAGAACGAGCTTACTTTGATAAGCTACTAAGACCGGCAATCATGATCACGTCAAATACACGTTGCAAAAAAAGAAAGAAAGAAAAAAAAAAAACCTTTGTAAGTTTGCTCTTAGCACGTGCTCAGCAGTCGCTAGTGAATGCTCAAAACACATGAATTGCAAGTGACGTCATTGCTTCGTTCCGGGGGTTTTCCAGATGTTTTCGCGGAAAAAGACAGCTTCGGTGGTGGTAACTGTACGCTGAAGAAGGTTCACGCACAGCAAGCAGCATATCTATCAAAATGTCCCTGACAACGTCAATTCAGGCTCGACTGTCGCGGCCATATTCGCTGGCTGCAACAGTCGAGTGCGGAGCTTCATTGGCCACATGTGTACGGGCGAGAACATCTTCTAAGAAACCAAGTTAAATTTTTGCATGATCAAGTTTATCGTTCATGAAAGAGAAGTGGTCTGTACAGGATGTCACGAAAAAAAAAAATTACAGTTTTTTTTTTTACTGCAAAAGCTAACTAGGCATCGCCGAACGCCCATTCTCTGCCCCAAGGTAGCGCTAGAGATCACAACCAGACGCCAAAGTGTCAGCCCGATCCGATACCTTAATCAAAAGTTATGTGATTTTCTGAAAATTTGAATGGGAAAATGGCGGCCGACGGAGTTTTCGATTACATGGGGCTCTATGGCACCAGAAACCGAAAACGGGCAAAAAGGAGCTTCATTTTCCCATTGCCATTTTCAGAAAATCAGTTATAACCTTTGAATAATCTATCGGAACTTTGGCATCTGGAGCGCTACCTTTGAGCGGAGAATGAGCGTTCGGCGATGTTTAGTTTACGTTTGGTGTGAAAAAGACCCTGTAAATTGTTTTTTGTGACACCCTGTATTATTGATCTACGTATGGTTCTCAAAGTGAGCTTTCTTCCATGATATCCCAAAGTGCATATTTGAGGCCTCAATGACACTGCTAATACTTTACTACAACGTACAAAAGGCAGTCTGCAAACATTGTCTGAGGTACGTTTCTTCCTTGTATGGTGCCCCTGTCGCACTGGTCATACAAACACTCTGTACAGACGTGTTCTGCGGACTTATCCGCCGATAAATCTGTCATGTCTGCAAAGAACACCTTGTCTTTTGTATGATGTACAAAAAGTGTGACTGCAACTAAAAAAATTGATTTAAAAAAAACAACAACAAAATGGACACATACAGTGCCTGTCGTGTAGTGTGTCTCTCTTCTCTCTATCTTTTTTTCTCGAGCGCTGTAGGCGTTCCATCAGGTGCACTCAAACTTGCGTTTATTCGATGCAAGAATTGTGCCCTGCCGGCGCGTACGGCGGGGACATCTGCCGTCCCTGTCCTCCGAACACGTTCAGCATCAAGGCGGGTTCGGCGACCTGCAACCCTTGTCCTCCCAACGCTTTTGTCGGCAACCAATGTCACCGTAAGTGGGTTGCGAGACATCAAAGATGGCCGAATGGCGGCAAATGTTTTTTTTTAGCTGTGTACGATCGAATCATAGCTTAAAGGGTTCGTAAAGCACAACTTTGATAGGAGTTTTACCAGTTGCGTATCGCGTAGTGAAAATCAAGAGGGCAATTATAAATCAGAGTAAAGACTGGGCTCTACGAAGCGAATATGCCAGAAACAAAGCGATACACTTTACCAAGTGGCGATTTCACGTTGCGTGCGGCGCAACGGCCATTGTTTTGGTGCCGCGCATGAACCTAACGCACGGGAAAGAGTTTGACGCTTTTCCGCAGCATTGCCACTTCGTACATCTCGCGATCCGGATTGCTTAAGTGCAGCAAAATGAAAGTGCGCATTGGCCTCGGCAGTCGCGGAAGTTCATTTGCAAGACAAGGCGAAAAACCTGAAGTTCTTTGGTTTGCTGAACACCGCGCGTCTTTTCAGCCTCGGGCAGTCCTCTACAGCTCAGTCTGCTTGGACTGATAATGAAGTACGGCTTCGTCACGACCTTCAGCTTTGCCCTGATCCTGGGATGCCTGCTGCTTTGGTTCAAAACGAGGAGCGAGTTTCCCAGGGGGTCGCCGTCCGAGCAGTCCTCGCAGCATCTTCTTCCCGAAGCGGGCGAGAGCGACGACGACCTGGACAGCTGTACCATCGCGGACAACTGCGCGGGTGACTCCAGGGTGGGCGGTTCTTCGTCCACGGCCACCCGAATCGATGATGATGACGAAGATCCTGCTGGTGATATTGATGACGATAGGAGCAGCGTGGACGGTGCTGGAGACTCGTCTCCTGTCAAGTCCAGGATGTTGGAACGTCTCAAGGAGCAGGGAGCCGTTCTGCCGGTGCAAGGTGTTGATATTGTAAGTACGACAAAAATATTTTAGAGCCTATTATTTTAAAACAAAACACAAACTGTTTCCCCCCCCCCCCCCCCAAAAAAAAAAAAAAAAAAACCAAAGCAAAGAAAACAAGTTTTTCGGCACAGACTGTTCTTATTAGGCTATTTTTATAAGAAAACTGACATCAACCATCACGGAAAACACTCACGTCAATTTCCCCGCTAAATTTAGTGGGAAAAGCGACGTCACGTTATCACATCACACATCGTCACGTGAATTTTCTCTCTGAAGTCAGAGCGGAAAGTTGTGTCATGCGACCTCAATTTCTCCTGGAAAATGTAGGCGGGGAATTGACGTTGTGTGACTACGCCGTGTTACTACCATCATGTCACCTCATGTCACGTGACAGTAATTTCTGCGGGGTGATTCTTTGAAGTGATAGTTTACGCTCTCGCCACATCCTATGCCTCTTTGTCTTTGTCAACACGATCATGCGTGCGCATTTATTTTTCTTTCTAGAAAAATAAATTACGCATTGTTAAACACTCAATCTCCGCCGAAATGTAGCCATAGCAGTCCGGAACAGGTACCAACGTTTTAGAGCTTGCCGTCATATGATTCAAAAGTTCATGAGCGGTTTCCGAATATTTGCAACGAAGAAATGGCAGCCGACGAGGCCTACTGATATATGAAGATAAATGGCGTCATCTACCTGGATTAGGCTTTATTTTTCGGATGAAAGTTGAGAAAACCCCTTATAACGTTTGAATAAAATGGCCGCCGGCGATATTTCAAACTTCGGCACCTGGTGGTCGGAAGCGCTAGCACCATGTTTAGTCGGAGGGGAAGCGTCCCGCGAAGCGTAGTTTTTTTTTTTTTTTTTTTTTTTTGCGGTGTAAACAACACTTTAAACCTGTACCGGGTACACGCTATATCATGCACATGATCTGGTTCTCGTGTCTTTGTTTTTGCATTTGTTCGGCATGTTTTATGAAGGCAATAGATCGAGAGACGTGTAATGATTAGTCGTAGCACCTTTCATAGTCGAAAGGGGCGATCGAATTGGTTCGAATCGTGCAATCTAAGATACAGAATTATTTCAGAACACGCTGTCCACAATTGAGAGAACAGTAGAAAGTTTGCGGTCTCAATTACATTTCCTGGCGCATGCGTCATTGAAAGCTGTGTCGGCTTTCTAGAAAACATTTGTGTTTTTCCAATCGCCGCTATAACAAATAGGTCAATGAGAGATATGGCACAGGATGCTAGCTAGTGTTGGTGTTTTGGCTCTGCCCAGTGATCTTGTTATGAGATAGTTGCTTTATCGCTGATTGTATTAGCTTCGTGATAACTCCATTTGCTATTTTTTTGCTTCCTTGTGACTAGATGCGGTGTATTTAACTAACGTTTAATGCCCATAGAAATGAGGGTTTATATATCGTAAGGACACATCGTTATAGCTCCTAAAACACTAATTCTGTGCTCGCAATACTTCAGCCACTGCAATGTTTAAATTAAAATTAAGCCGATTGTAAGACTAATACAAAAAAGTCACAAGACTGATTTATCAATACAAAAGTTTCATATTACAGGTATGCAACAGGGATGTATTATTTTAGTTCCAAAAGGACTGGTTTAATTTTCATTGCCGTAGAAGAAGGATGCACGCGCTCCAGTACCCAACCTGCCGTTGCTTAAAAAGAGTGGGCTTTCCCTCATGAAGGATCGGTGTGTGGCAAAGCACGCTTGCCGGTTTGCACGACTCAAGTTCCGAGATTAGCAAAACTCATCGCTAGAGCGTTCCAAGATTCTCTTCCTTACATAAAAGTACTGTCTGCAACAGGGACCTTGCACCACGCATACGAAGTAGAAGACGCTGCTCGTGCGTCAATGCCCATAGTCGTTTGGAGCGTTCGAGTGAGTGCTTGGAAATATGACTTTACATCGATTCAGTGGAATCGTGTTCCCCAAAAATCTCCTTTGTAGACTTAATTCTCGTTCACACACCATCGTTTGCTTAGGACACCCTAGGACTGAGCCCCTGTAATTTCTTACGATTGCGCGCTTTGTCATTCGCTGGGATTCTTCTATTGTACGCCGCGATTGGCTGTCTTCGTTTTCTGCTGAAAAGTTAACTCACGGTCCTTTTCAAAGTGTAGTCATAATCCGCCTGATCCTTACAGCTAGATTTCAAGCCTCTCACGAACGCAAAAAACAAATAAAAATATCGTGACATTGATATGGCGGGAGCGTAGCGTTCGAGGTCGATATACCGTTGCTGTCCGATCACATGTTCCCGAAAAAAACTTAAGCTGATTGATGATATATTGAATTAAAGCTGAATGGAGGGTCCTTTTTATCCAGGCTATTTTATATACCAGAATATTAGTCTAGACAGCACATAATTACGACGGGACACAGCGAAACTTGTCATTAAGAATTAAGAGTTATACATAGAAGACATAGTAGAAGGGCCAGCGCGAACAAGAAAGGCGTGAGACAACGCCCCCCAGAAGACAAGGCCTAGTGCTGACATTTTTGCGTCAACATGCGAAGGCCAATGCTGGACACAAATTGGAAACGAGTGCTGCGTCAGCGCCCGACTTCGAGTCAAGTTGGAGCCGAACGTTGACGCAATCGTCGCGTCCAATCTGTGCCCAGCGTTGGCCTTCGCTGATGACGTCATCTCATTCATCACAACGGCCTTATTATATAGAAGGTGTTGCATGAGAGCGGGCGTGGAAGAGCTTTGGGAGAGGACTGTGACGTCACGATTTGTTTCAGGAGAATGTCCAGACGTACGCCCGCTTTTAGGATTAATTTATTTCAGTCATTAGCGGGGTATTGAACTAACATTTCGTAAACGGCCGCATTGCGTTGTATAAAAAGCGATAACTGATTAACGAGAAACGTATGTAAAATGTTGTAAACTTGAGTGAACGGTTCTTAGGTCTGCACTGCTTTAAACCGAACAAGTTTTGAGTTAAATCTCTTAGTTTTTGGATCACAAAATTTTTTAGATTGCAACTGCGAAGAACGCCCGAGCTCAGCCTGAATGTGGAAGCATTTAGATTCTAAACGCAGCCATTTTTTTTCTCACTTCTTATTTTCAGAGAGAAATTTCACGGCGGGCTCAACAAATTCGGGATCGCCCAATGATGCTGTAAAGGAAGGCTTCTTGTTTATTAAAACAATATAAAATGTTTATCTTCTTTAAAAAAACATATTTGGCGACGTGTTTGTGTGAATACCGCGACACGAGGCAACATGAATAGCACATAGAAGAAAACGCCCGCGCGCTTTCTTCCTCTAACGTCATCACTAGTGGAACCACGCAGTGTCACCCAGCTCGCGTTCGCGTCACCACTAGCGTGTCTTACGGCATATCATAACGAGCGCAATGACAGCGCGCGGCGACGCCAATTGATTCCCGCGTCGGCCGCTTGGGGGCGTACTCTCGTCGAGCTTCAGTGCGTCGGCCGCTTGGGGGCAGGTCGGGAATCCAGTAATGATGACGTCACGCTCTAGCGTCTTTTGCAGATGGCTTCTCAAAATAAACGATAATAATAATAATAATAATAATAAAAAAAACGTTACAGGCTTTAAACCTGGTTCTAGGTTTTATAGCCACTTACGACTTAAGAGACGCCCGGCGTGGCGCGCTTATCTTCGGCGTACTTATTTTCGGCGTGCTTAACTTCGGCGTACTTATTTTTAGCGTACTTACCTTCGTGGCAATTATTTTTGGCGAACTTACTTACCTTTGGCGTGCTTACCTTCGGCGTGCTTACCTTCGGCGTGCTTACCTTCGTTGTGCTTATTTTCGGCGTACTTACCTTTGACGTACCTACCTTCGGCGAACTTATTTTTAACGTACTTATTCTTAGCGTACTTACATTCGATCTACGTACCTTCGGCGTACTTATCATCTCCAGTTGGACACGCGTTTCAGGGTTACGGTGACTGGAAGGCGTCTCCGACTGGTGTGTTTACCGCGTCCAAAAAGTGGTCCCTCGATTTGCGCCCCATGACGTCACAGAACTGTCACGCTGTCGACGGTGGCGGGCGATCCTAGCGATGTCAGAGCAGCAATGGTGACGCCTGTTTTACTGCAGATCTCCTCCTAACATGTCAGTACTCTGAAACTTTGGCAGCCGGGAGTTGATACGTCACCGCGACGACAGCGACACCCAGCGTCTGCTCGTGCTTCTCACCAGCATTTCTATACGACCAACCGCCAGGATCGCGACGTCCGACAGCGCGACGCTTCGACTTTTGTGACGTCATTTGTCGCCACTTTCGATGTATGGGCGGAATAGGACGTTAGACAGAACCAGTCGGAAACGCATTCCAGGCACTATACTTTCTCGTGTGAAAGAAAGCCCTATATGCTTTATTCCGACTTCCGGTTCGTCGAGTCACTTTTTTTCCCATGTCGAGACAGCATTACTCACGCTACTGCGGCAGAACGAGAAGGAGAGTGCGGACAACCTTTGTCCCTCCTCGTCCGCCTATGTCTAACGGTGCTCTCATTAGACAAGTGGTACTCTGGTCGCGACAAAAAGAGAGACAAAAAGTAATAATAACGAGGCGTTGTAATGAGGGCATGGCGTGAGTGCTGTTGTCACCACGTTGCAACTACCTTTACCTTCGTTTCGTCGTGGGGAAGCTGCGCTATAAAAAGAAAAAAAAAAAGAAAAGAAAAGAGGGTGTGGAGGGAGGAGTTGTGTTTGCAACTTTGGGAATTTGATTGCACCGCACTGGCCCCATTTCCGAGTCCCAAATGACGGCGCTTGCTTCGATGGTCCGCGTATGCACAGAGTAGGGTGTACTCGGGCGTGTGTTCCTTTTTATAACGGTTCAGCGCTAACGCGGCTAATGAAGTAGTGTTTTCCTTTCGACTTATGGCGTGAATATGTCACTTTGCTGCTTCGGGAAGACTGTTTCTAAGCAGAAAAACAAAAAAGAACACACGAAACACACGGTTTCGTTTCTGAAGAGGTTTGTTATAGCGCATACCGGTCCCACGAGCAAAAGCTGGAGCGTTGTTGTGGCTGGCAGATGGGTTATTTTTTTATTCTTTGGTTTCGGAGCGATTGCATTATCGATCGATTTAGTACGCGTGCTTGGGTTGCGTTTGTTTTGTCTCGTTGCATTTATTGTCCGTCGAGGGTCATCCGCAATAGAGTCATTATCAGCGTAATTAACGTCGGTGATGCAACCGACGTTTACGAAAAAAGACGTAAACGATAAAGTGCAGAGGTGAAGGTTTGAAGGGACTTGACAACATGTGCGCACTTTTAAGAATCGTGAAATTTAATATACAGGGAGGTGTTCAGCTTTTACAGGTGTTTCTCAGCAAAGCTGCGAAAGCTACACTAATGCGGTCTCTGCAGGTGATTTATACGGCCAGGGAGACGTAAAATAGGTAGTTAATCTTCATAATAAGTCAGATCATTGACTAAAACTTGTTAGATGTTTTTTTAATTACTATAAAATAAACGTATGGTTTTCAATTAGAAACTTGCTGAGCGTCATCTAAAACCGCCGAATCAATCAATATTCGAAAGACTTGAAGCGCGCGAAACGCGGTGGAGCGCTTAAGTTAGCATTCGTGCAAAAGACGCAAAGCATGACTATGCGAAAATTGGGATGATAAGATTATCATTTACTCTTTAAATGTTTTATTTTAGCTTACACATCCTTACAATTATTAAGCGAGTAGTTTTGTGAATTTTCCGTGAAAGTCGGTAGGACAATCCCGACACCCAGGTTCTTTTCAAACATCGAGAAACTTCAGCCTTTGGATCGGGGCGGTTAGGAACGATCTTGTTCACAGGGGTCATGAAGCTCACTCGCTTGATGGTTAATTTGGCAATAAACATCTTTTTATTAACTGCCCTTTCTTGAGTTTGAAATAAAGCTTCGGTAAATTTACACTCTATATTTAGTTATATGATTTTTTTTTTAGTGGGCGGGAACGGGCGTTTTGCAGATCTATAAATCATAATGGCGTCCTTATCAGGGAGCCAACGGTCACAAGCGACAATTCGAGGTTCCCTTTTTGGGGAACGGAAACATGTTGGGGAGGGGGACGAGGCACGAAACCTGGTGACAGCCAATGTACTACCTGGACAAAAATCGATAATGGGGAAAAGGGGGAGGGAGAGGGGGGGTCCGGAAAATAAGGAGACACCTAAAATAAAACACAACTGTCCAGAGAGTAGCCTCGTTTCGAAAAGAACACGGTTCTTCTCTACATTTCGTGTCCGTTTTGTTTTGGGGGCGATGTCCCTTTAGTCTCCCCCCCCCCCCTTTTTTTTTTCGTGCATTCGAGGTTTTCTTTTTAAATTTGCTGTGACATACACGTCCTTGTTTTTTTTTTTATTGTTCTGCCAAAATGTGATTACCAGTTTGGTGAGGGGACGGTAGTGTGAACGCACGTGGAATGTTCGCATCGACAAAAAAAAAAAAGTTTTTTTTTTTTTATTGTAACGATGTCTTGTATTGCGTTGCTTTTTTCGATAAGTTTACAAGTTTGATGAGTTTATATAGTTGCTAGTTTTCGAACCTATAACCTCTGTTCGTTCTCAGTTATATTTAAAAGGAGTAGTCGGAAAGTTTTCGCTTCGAGCGGGCGTCGAGCATACTTAAAAATAAAAAAAAAAAAAAAAAAAAGCGACGTAATTGTATTACTTTATTCGAGAGGAGAACGTATATGTGTAAGTTGAACCTGTCGAAATTGAATTTCTTTTGATAAAATAAAAACATAAAAAAATATTTAAAAAAAAGTTGAGGCATTTTGTCACCTCTTTTTTTTTCAGGAAGGGTACAGTCTGTTTAGGAATGAAGTGAATGTTTATGCGTATAGGGTAAGTTTTGGGGAAAGACGGCTCGTGCTGCGCAAACCTGGGATTACGATTTAAATCTACTTTGTACGTGTGAAGCTTAGTGCTGTTTGGGGACACATCAAACTAAATATTATCATTCAAACGAATTAGGAATCGTCTTACATTTCATACACAATTTAGCTTTTTGCTCCTTTCAATTTCTTTTTCCCATCGCAAAGTCGAAGAGAGGTCTAAACACTCGCAATTGAAGATTTGCGCCATGTTGAACATACTTTCTTTAAAACTTTATTTATAAGACAGCAGTCGTACCTTCGTGTGTCGGAAGATGTTTTAAAGCTGGAATTCACTGCCTCATGTTACTGCGTCCGAAATTACGTAATTTGAATCTGATTTTGAGTGTTCCGGCTAAAGAATCGTTTAACTTAATTTAAAAGTCGCACAGTTTTTCGTTTTTTTTTTTTTTTGGGGGGGGGGGGGGGGGGGGGGAGGGGGATAGAATGGTTATTTGACGCGTTTTCACGTTTGAGCGCAACTTCGAGATTTAGATTTTATTAGTATGGATTCATCGTTTGTGATAAAGAACAAATTTAGCAAGTTTGGACAGCTTTACTGGCAAGAACCGTTTGATATTGTTGCGTCCAAGACCCGATAATATAAAGACCTCATGCGTTATTAAATTATTCCATGAAAACATATTTTAACAGGTGGACCAAATATAAAGAGTGGCCGTAAGGACCATATCACAATTGGCACCGCTTGAAAAAAAAAAATTCCAAAATACATACCTGAAATTGGACACGTGAACGTCATTTCGCAATAGATTTTATCTTTATCTTCTTTTTTAAAGCTCAACTCAGAGTAAAAAAAAGATAACAAAAAAGGCAGCCGTACATTTTCTATGTTTTATACCAGCCTGTTCGCCTTCTGCACACTGGTTTACGAGCTCGCTCCCGGGTGACTTGCTGAACGGAAATACGCTTAGATCGCCATAGGAGAGTCTGGCGACAAGTAACATAATCGCGTTAATTAGTACTTTCAACAAAATAACGACCGACGAACACCCGGGAGCAAGCTCTAAACCCAGTGTGCAGACGAGGAATATCCAGTATAAAACATACAAAATACGCGACCACCGTTTTTTTTTTAAATAATTAACACACCTTAGTTGAGCTCTAAAAAAATAAACCTAAAACAATTCGCAAAAGATGTTTGCCTGCCAAATTTTAAGTATGTGCGTTTAGAATGCGAATTTTGCAAGGCGTTCCAAACGTGCTGCTCTCTACGGCCCCACCCTGTACAGTCGTGTGAAACAGTGTTTCTAATTGAAAGGGCGTTTATTTATTTGGTCGTACTATACTTCGTTTCAGCTTCGGTCCGAGCGCGGCCGATGTTATGAGCCGAAGGGCCAATCAAACAGCGCGAAAAGCGGCGCGTCATGGCGTGATCTCTGCACTTGATAGGGCTAGCCGGCGGAGGAGCACGCACAGAGAAACGGCGAATACCGGCTGGTCCTATCGACTGCAGAGAGCACGCCATGACGTTGTGCCTCTTTCGCTGTTTGATTGGCTCTTCGGCTCATAACATCGGCCGCGCTCGGACCGAAGCTGAAACGAAGTATAGACCCTTTCCGGAATTCAGTCGGGCCACTTTGATCACTATCATCATCATCTGAAAACGGCATATGTGCTATACTAATGGCGGCCTTCTGTTTACTGATGAAGAAAGAAGTTGAAGGTGCTCCTGAGCAGATGATTCGAGGCCTATACATTCTAGGTGTTAGCGCGACGTGAAGCAGGAATTGGAAGAGCTGCGTAAGCGTTCATTTCTAACTCAGTCCCAGTCAATCTGTTCCCTATTGAAAATTCCATCAAGATACGTAATTTGGGACACTGACTGCCAGTCAGCAGCCTTGGTGGAACGTGATGGACCATCAGACGTCATCTGATGGTCCATCAGATGACGTCTGACTGCCACTGCTAAGGGAATTTCATCAACAAGGACAGCATTTATATAAGAGTAAAGTTATACGCACTCATAAATATCGCCAAATGCCGCGATAAAACAAAATGTCCGAGAAAAAAAAAAAAAGAAAAATAAAGCAGGACCACCGCGCATCGGAACCCACGACCGCTTGCGTACAAATCGGACACCTTAACCCCTATGCTATGCCACCGCTTTGAATACTCGATTTGACTATTCATTTTATACGAGATGCTTCGGCTGCAAATGCAGTTAAGCCGTCAGCATGTTATGCAAAGCACTCGTACATCCCTCGCCGTACTTCAGTTCTACTCACCTGCCATGAAGAGTACTTTCGCGTCGTAGAACGATCCTTTTGTTCGTGCGTCTCCGGCCCAGTAGACCTTGTACACCTTGTCGTCTTCAACTACACCGCTAAAGTCCCTTACATCGTCGGAACTCACAACAGGCTGGGTCTTGTCGAGTAGAAATTCTACTAAAACATAAGACATTGTAGAGCCCGGGCAGGATCAACAGGTTGGAGCAAGCGGGCAAACAAAACGAGTCGAGAGCAATTGTTCATGAAAGCTCGGCGAAGCCTCTATGGGCGAAGCGAAGTGTCGTGTTTGGCGCTTCGGCGGGTTTCTGATCAAGGTTGTCGGTCGGTTGCGTGTCATATCTCTAACGTCAGCGGTTTTATGGGTTCACGTCCCGAAATCGTTTTCTCGTGCATAGATTACTTTTCGTATTCATAGATTTGACGAAATAGTGGTATCCGAACGAACATTACGTCCTTTGACCGTACGTCTGTCTGCACGTCAAAGCTTTTTGACGTACAGTCAGAGACAGTAGATGTACAATCAGAATCGCCACCAAGACATCCTGATGGCATTTCGCGGCGGCCGACTGCCACCAGGAAACCATCAGAAAGCCGACAAGC